CTCAATCTCAAAGTCCAGCGTTTCCGCACGTGTAGCATCTGCCAGGTGCTGTTTTGCCACGGGCTACATGCATTTCACGGGAAGTTACATGATACAGGTCTGGAAGAAGGTTGAAAACCGAGCTTGAAGGACGCGTAAAGTGACCGTATGCTCTGTATTGGGTTAGGCTGCGAAGAAAAGATATCTGAACCTTGGCCATTGCGGTTCACTACCCAGACCCCCAAAAGGATCTAAAAATTAGATCCCCTAGAACCATATGGGGAATTATATAAGATTATATAGGGGTTATAATGGGTCTATATGGGGGATCTAATTTTTAGATCCTCCCAGGGGTCTGGGTATCGCTTTGGATTGGTGGGAACCTCACCCGACAGCTTCATGCACGGATGGTCTAAGGTCCTAACCATGGGCCCTAACTGCGCACACCCACCAGCATGAGAGATCTCACATCAGCCACCCACACCTACTGCAGATGTAGGAAATCTTGCACAGCCCCATTTTATCTGGTTCCCCCTTCAATCACACGCAACCCGAAACCCTAAACCCTAATCCCTTAACCCAACCCAAATGCCTAAACCCCACATCCCTAAACTTGAATTGCCAAACCCCAAACCCAAATCCTCAAACACCTCAACTAAACCCAAATCCCTGAACCCCTGAACCCCACTAAACCCTAAACCATAGGGGTCTATGCTTGCAATCGTAGATGGAGGGGGCGCCGCCTCGCCCCGGATGCGCAAGGATCCTTGCCAACGCCAAGGCTGCCTGCTTCAAGGAGTTTGGGGTTTAGGGTTTAGGAATGAATGATGGTTTAGGGATTGGGGTTTAGGGATTAGGGTTTAGGGTCTAGGGATTAGGGTTTAGGGATTAGGGTTGAGGGTTTAGGGACAAGGGGTTTAGGGAATAGGGGTTTGGGATTAAGGGTTTAAGGACAAGGGGTTCAGGATTCAGGGTTTGGAATTCAGCGTTAAGGGTTTGGGATTTAGGGGTTTATCGGCACAGGGTTTAGGGCGTAGACTGTAGAGGATGAGGCGGTCTAGGCCGTGCGTTCGTTAATAAGGCCGTTTTTGTAACGCCAACCCCTGGAACCTAGTATAATCATCTGAGCCACTGTCTAAACTCCTAGTATCCGCCTTAATAAGCCTTATAGTACTCCCCTATATAATCCCCTATATACTCCCCTTTCAGGAGTTTAGACTTTTGCTCATCCGGTCCCTCCCACCAAATGCCAGAAACTTTGTAAGTAAAGCATACAACTTCGCAGCAGGTTTGCAGTAGGAAGATCCTATGCCACGGCGAAGGGAAGCTGAACATTGAGAATTGCATTGTTGCTGCTGCTGTTGTTGTTGTCATGATAGCCAAGGTGTGACGGCAGCACTTTATGATGTGAATTATGATGTGAAGAATTGGGCGGTCCTCGGCAACCACAAAACGTAAAACCGTGTCGCATTTAGGCTACCACATGATTCCCCGAGATGCTGACCGCTGACGACAACGACAACAACGACAACAAGAAGAAAAAGAAGAAGCGTAGTACATGATGTTGAGGGTTTAGGGTTTAGGGGCCATAGTACAATGTTGGAAAATGTAACAATGTAGAGGCTGTCGAATCATCTAATAGAGTCCACTTAAATGGAGCGGAAAGCAACGTAGGGAGGTTTAGTCCCAGTGCCTTGCCTCAACCTAAACCCTTTTTGGAAGCTATAGTCCCCAATTAAGTAGATAGAATATGGCTTTGGGCATATTAGAATAAGATCCCCCATATACCCCATATTCTATCTACTTAAGGGGGACTATAGTCTGAGCTTGGGAGGCTTGGCAGCTATGAGAAACTGGGAGCTTGAGCTGCAACTATTGGCGCTGAACACCTCTACCTTGGATACTGCCCCAAATCTTCCAATTGATATACTACACCATATACTGATATACACCTCTATTAATATATACACATATATACCCCTCAAATACTGGCTCCAGCAAACTGGAAGAGCTGATGACGGTTGGCAAATTTAATCCTGATGTCATGGCGCGGAAACGGAGGAATCCCTGCGGAACTCTACATGAGAGTTTCCCAAACTTAGGGGTACCTTATTGGGGGTCCGCACAACAAAGATTCTAATCCTTTGGGGTCTAATTGGGGTCCCCCTGTTTCTGGAAACTGCCACATGTAGTCTGCTCTGCAGAGATGACATGTGAAAAACATCCCATTTCAGACATCATTAACTCTGAAATGTTGGCTGTACGTGTCATCTAACTATCCACCGACTAAATCGTAGGAAGATGGGCATCGCATTGTAAACTCTGTATCCTTGGAGGCCTAAGACGCCAAGTCAGGAATACACCCATACCTTTCTGCAAATCCTACCATAATCTATGGAAGGTTCTGATGCTGTGAGTTTCTTCTGTGCTTTGCGAAAAACATAATCCAAAACAGCATAGCCTTCCTACAAGTCTGTGTCAGAGGGTATGTCCTTAAAATTAGGGAACCGAACCAGAACCAGAAGCCCCAAACCTGAACAATTCCATTGGAATTCAGGCCTTGATCTGTAGTTGAGCAGGCAGGTCGCTTGCGATCGCACGGGCCCTTGTCAAGCATCACTTGTATTGATTTCTTCAATTACTGCAGTCCCCAATATGACGTTAAACGAAATTTTGAGAAGCCCGAATCCTGGCAGTTGGGTCATACGTGCGGAAGCGCTACGCCGCTACGTTCCCCATCTCTTTATCCACAACGTGCCAGGACATCGCCGAAACAACATGAATGCTCAGATGAGTGCTGCAACTCATTCTGAAGCACAGAAGGTTGGGGCTCAAAGCTTGGGGATTGCGGGGCTTATACCCTAAATCCGATCCAAAACCCTCAACCCTTGACCCCTACCCGTCAGAAGGCTCCCGGAAGCTTGGGCCGCCATACCCCAAGCTGCCATCAACCATAGCACCTTAACTCAATATGTCCTTGTATATCCTTTTATATCCTTAAACATTCCATCAGGGCCCTTGTGAAAGCTACGCCAGCAGACCGTACTGCTGGGCATCTGGCAAAACCTCCTCCTCCTGCGGGCCGGCCAAGTGCACCTCGGCGGGCGATCCTCGAAACAATCATCCCTTGTTGGGGCACCCAAAAAAAACTTTGACCCCATATTGCTCATCCCTTCCCCGGAGCCTTACCGAGCCCATTCTGGCCACCCTTTTTGTGCTGCAGGCGAAGGATTGTTCTTTGGTTCTTGCTGTCTTAGGTGTTTTTCCAACGAAAATCAGCACGACCTTGCTGATTGGTAGTCAACTTTGGGAAAGCTTCCCGAAGCTTTACAAGTAGGATGCAAGGTCCACATAATGCGGAATGCAAAGACCTGACTTTTGTGGGTGCTGGGTTCAGCGCTTACAGTGAAAATAGCATTCAATAGTCCAGAGCAACTTCAAACAAAAATGTTGGGCTTATGTTCACACCAAAAAACAACCGAAACTAAATAGCGTCTTACAAGCGTGAAATCTGAAAAAAACTGTATATGAGCTTACTAAGCGAGACGTTGTAAACGGCGTGGTGTACTCATTAGGGGATATTATTGAATTCCTTACTAGGTTTATCAAGCCAAACGCCGTATGCTACCGCCAAAAAGGCACCCAAAGTATGCAATCACCTATACTATTATACCTTTAACAACGGCACGACTGTATCAGACCCAGGGGCTGGCAGCGCCAAGACTGCATAGATGGCCTCGTGGTCCTCCTCGCCTGCAAATCAGTGTCACCGGTCTTCTTGGCATTTCGGTTTCAGCGCGCAGCACTACGCGGCAGGATCAGAAAAGTTGTTGAGTTTGATCCTGGCCCCCTTTTTCTGATACTCGCTCTCTCTCCCTCTCTTTCTCTCGCTTTTTCTTTCCCTCCCTGTTGCCCTGTACTTACAGATGCAGAAACCCTGACAAGCATGCAAGCATGACAACCGTCAGCTTTGTGCCACTGCAGACTTCAACATTAGGCATCAACATTTCATTAACATGGATCGTTGCGGGCTTCAGTTGGTGCCCACGGAATGACAGATACAGGAACCCACGTAATCCGTGTTTTCTAAGTTAGGGAAATCGCCAAAATGCTGCCGGGTCACCTGCATGCTTCATCGAGGCAAGCCCATGGCGAGGAGAGGTTCTGAACACAGATGGGCTATGTAGGGGTTATATGGGGATAATGGAAAAGAAACTGGAAACTACCATATATGGACTTAAGATACAGCGGTACCAAGGGTTGGCTTCTCCTCAGGGCTTAGGTTTGGAGACACTTGCGTCTCGAAAACGATCAAATCTGCCCAGAAGCACGTCGCATTCAGTTTCTGTAGGCTAAGAGCTTCGACTCGAGTTGGGTCCGCACATGTAGAGGTTTCCATGATACAGCAAGCCCCTGTTTTGGGAAGTGTTTTGGGGTTCTATGGGGGGAACGGAACTACTATACTATAATAGGGTATATGATAACTTACACCGACCCGTGCAACCTGGAACCCACGCAGCGGCTCGTCACATGCAATGAGTCGAGTAGCTGCTTCACGTGATGAAGGTCCGAATATTCCGGGCAATCAACGTAAAAGCATAGTGGAATCAAAGAGCCATGGTGTCATCTTGGTACCCTATGTTCACCCCCCCCACTCCCGTTAAGCGATAGAAATTCACAGAAAAGGAAACTGATGACAGGCTCCGCTTGGCGGTACCATATATATAAGGCTTTATCAAAAGAAGGATCATGTGAAGGACGTGATGGGATTATTTCTAGGTTCTCGGTGCACCATTGTGACAAACTGGCATATCCCCTTCTTTTCATCCACAGCAATCTCAAAGCTCTGTCAAGACACCTCATGGATCACCTAGTTGCAGCTTAGCCTCTGCATGCAGACGTCCATGGTATCAGAAATGACTGTACAGTATGCACATACGAAACTCGGCTCTAAGGCATCCGGCCTGGATCGAAATGGATTCCAAGGCCGTTCAGGCTGGCAGGGACCTAGGGGTACCCACTTGAATCTGTCTCTCGGCAGCACGCCACTGCCTGTCTAGCTCATTGTACCTCTCGGGGGTCAGAATGCGATCCAGTGGATAGTTTGGTGGAAAGAACTTGTTCTTGCCAAGGTAGAAGAGATACTCGTCAATGGCCTGCGCAGCCATTCACACTGCTTCTACGGGAACTGAGGTTAAAGGGTACCGAATTTCTTACTGACTCTGCAAGATCTCCCCACGTGCTGCCTGAAGGAATTCCAAGCATGAAACACATGACAGCAACTCTTGAGCCTTGACAAGAGTCATCAGGTCCCGGGCATAATCCTCCATCTTCTTGTTGAACCGGTGCTGACGAGGGCCACCCGCACTGGTCCGCTTCAACGTCTTGAAGGCATGCGCAGCCTGTTCGGCAGACTTGGAAACGCCATACCACAGGCCCTCGTGGGTCCTGGCTGAATCTACCATCTGGCCCGCAAGTTCCTGATTTTGTTGTGACGTCTCGATGGTAGCCTGGCATGCCGCAGCTTCATCTTCGGCCGCCTTCTTTTCGAGCAAGGCTTCTGTGCTCTGCTCTGACGACTGTAGTCACAAGCATCACAACCAGACTTCACGGCAAGCAAACCAAAGCCGAGCGCGAGAGCTACTCCCACCATAATTCCAACAGGGTTGAAGGCCACCGAGGTTGTTGTCACAGTGTAACCAAGCGCTCCCCACACACCACCTGCTGATGATGTTGTTGCCGTAGTAGTAGTGAGAGCCGCGCCAATGCCTGGAACGCTCGCCACCCAAGAAGCCCCACCAGCAAGGGCTGCTACACCCCCACCGCTCCCGCCCAATGTGACTGAACCAGAAGTGACGGATATGCCTGTATTCGCTACACATGCGCGACTCAGTTGTTTGGAAGTTCGGTCCTTCTCATCAGCCAGTTTCTGATTTGTCTCGCGCTTCTGCTCTGCCTTTGCCTTGCTTGCCTGATATTGCTGCTGAATCTTATGCAGCTCCTGTGACACTTGTTCAAACTTCTGCTTGCCAAGCATGGCAATGTTGCGCGCGGCTTCTGAAGAGCTCTGCACATCGCGCATGACCTCATGAAGCGCACTCGCGTCTGACTGTACTTCAGGCACCATAATGTCTTCAAGTAGCTCAGCGATGTCTTGCAGGTGCCGTCGCATCGGAAGGACTTGATCAAGAGAATGACTGGAAGCATCCCGCACGCACTTGACCTCAGCTAACTAACTCTGACAACAGCATCCCTTAAAACAGATTCCTCATCAGAAACGCAACCGGTGCAGACTGAGTTCTTGGCGATACGGTTGGCGGCTTCCCAGTCGCCCTGCTGTTTCAGATCATCCTCCATCTTCATCAGGTTCTCAGAATTGAGCTGGTCCTGCTGCATGGACTTCCGGATCACGTCATGAGCGCTCGGCCCGAAATACGTCACCTTGCATTTGCAGATATTTGTTGCACACAGCCCTGCGAGGTAATCAAGCGGAAGCAACTTGTTGAGACATCAGCTCAGGCCTACATGCTTTCTCTAAATTCCTGGAACTGCGACAACAAGTCGACTGGGGAAACCACAAGGCTTCCAATGCGAAGTTCCAGACGTTCAATTGGATCGTCTGACCCGCTGTCGATCACTTGCCATGTTGTGGAGCCGCTGCCAGTAGGGCTTGGGGGTGGCGAAGCCATGGTGAGCGGAAGATCAAAGGAAGCTCCGTTCAGAATGCCTTGAGCCTGGTAACTGCCGACCCAGGTCTGCCCAGCAAAGGATTGCTGCCAAGACAGGCAGAACGCTTTGCTAGCCAGCCCAGCAAAACCCTCAGAAAAATTTCTGTGCGTGACATGGATTCTAGCTCGACACACACTGCGCAACGGATCCAATATGCTCCAATGGCAGCATTCAGCGATGCAAATGCAAACATGCAATGCAGGACGCAAACATGCACTTTCGGTCCCTCCAGAATAGTGAGCTGTCTCACAACCTACGTCGTGGGCATGCAACCATTGGCCACTGTCCACACGGCTTGCGCCCCACCTGCATGCCCTCAATTGACTAACGGTGACTAACGACTAGAAAGCATCTTGAATCTGAACCTTGTATTTCCTGATGGCTGGGAGTGCCTGGATTTGCGGAAGCCTAAGGCAATTATACATATGTCGGAATTTAAAACTCAACCCACATGAACAGCTTTCACTTGGTACTGGCCAGAACGGCTCATGTCACTTGCGCCGCCAGCCTGACGTTGTTCCAAGACATTCTAGGGCGCTTTTCGGAGAAGGTATCATGCAAATCCTTACACCACGTGCGGAAAGATAGAAGGGACACTGCAGCTCAGCCCCAACATGAATCACGCTAATATCTGTCGGACAGGATGTGAATGGTTCCTTGCGGGAGGTCTCCTCAGACCCAAGGCCCAAGCTCTTAAGGAGTATTAAACCTATACACAACGCGACAAGGAAGAAGAACATTGCAGAAGCAGGGGAAAACGATATAATCTTTCGTCCTTCTTTCTGGAAAGTAGAATCAGCCTCAATTTGATTGGAGACATTAAGGCTTAGGGCATTCAGAGTGCAAAACTCTGAATCAAATGTCAATGCTGAGAAGTGCACTTGATTGGTAGTGTGGCTATAAACAGGGGACCCCAGTCTAGGCACCAAAATACGATGATCCTCATGGGTACCCCCAAGAAGGTATCCCCATTTTTTTGGCGACCTCCAGCGCAAGCTTTTCACATGTCATGGGCCCATTGGACAAGGGAAACCCTGAGTCTCAGTAGAATTTCACATCTACAAAAGAGGGTTTGAAATATAGGCCTCAACAAGCAATAACCGGACAACAATCCCACAAAGCCCTAAACCCCAAAAACCCAAACCCTAAACCCTAAGCCCCAAACCCTAAACTCTAAGATCGAAACACCCACCCAGCTTAGCTCTGAAATTTGATTTTCCATCAGTTTAGGGCTTACGGTTGGGTATTATCCCGAATTATCCCTGTCGTTTCCATAATGTAGAAGACCTACCCGAACCCAGCTCAAGCATCCATCCGCTTGCGCCTTGCTTGAAAGCACATCCGCTCCGGACTGCAAAGCCATCCCCGCAGGCAGCCCCAAAAAAAGGGACCCCTCTAAGGGTGAAGGGTCCAAGGTTTTTCTGGGGGGGTTCAGGGTTTAGGGTTGAGGGTTTGGAGTTTGGGGGTCACGGTTGAGGGTCTAGGTTTGAAGATAGCCTCTTAGAAAAGGGTGGTTTTGGGGAAGCTCCCACTGTTGCTGCACGCAGACCCATCCACCCGCTGAATGACCTTCAGCGCTAGCACTCTGCGCTGGATCAGTGACAGTTCAAATTTTTAGTTGCGAATCCATGTCGCTGAGGGCGTGCAAAGTAAGCTTCAATATGGCCATACATCCAAGGTATCCAAACATTGCATCCCTAGTCAAATGTGCATTGAACTTCCAGTATTGCTACCAAGCTGGAAACACGCGGACAAGGCCAAGTTATCTGCCAACTCACGAGCAAAACATCTATGGTTGGTCGTTTCATGTTTGTTTTCAGCTGTTGGTTTGACAAATGGAGTGGGGAGCGACTGGCGCTTAACAAGCAAAAGGCTTGATGTTCACATAAAGGAAATTGGTCACCTGCTGATCGTTGCCCAACGGAAATCAGGGAACAAAAAATGAGTGTGGTCTCCAATTTTTCTTCGCATGCCCCACGATTTGTTGCAACTTGGCCTCCGCCTGGAACATCATCACACATGACGTTTGGTAAAATTTACAAAGCTAGAAGGTATACAAGAACCATATGTCGTTTTCACGCGTGAAAACTACCCACGCAAAACCTCCTTACAATTGGTCAAACAGTGCAGCTTTACTGCCTGGCACAAGTTGATGACAGATATGCGTCCACACTCTATGAACTTCATTAGTGCCCCAGAGCGACGTTAGAAAGAACATTCGGCCTGCCAGACAAGTCATATTTTAGAGGAAGACACAAAAAGAATAGCCAGACGATTTACAGCATAGGTTTCAGGGGTCTAGGGTGTATGGCAGCGGTCTCACCATCCACAAAAGAATCCACAAACAATGCCACCGCCAGAAATGCGGCACGCCATGAAGCCCCTGATGAACCTTGACCTGCAAGAACATTACGTGGGAAGTTTTCAAGACGGAGGGGGGTGGATCCGAAGCACTTTTAAGGGGGGGGCTTCAAGGGCTT